TTGTTTGAGGAGGAATAAATCGCCCTCTCTCTACACCTTCAGGTGTGTGCACCTCCCCCCTCCAATACATTTAACTCTTTCACATTACTAATGACCTTTTATTTAATGGATACTTCCCTTAATTTTCTGCCTCTAGGAGAATGTCCTTTGCCTCTTGTCCTGGTGCGTGGAGGGCCCTTCTTCCTTGACCTCTGTTACAGCCATTTCTTCCATCTCTGATCTTCCAGGTTTCTTGCATCAAGTCCCAACTTCTCCAGTAGTTTTGCCGCTTCTTGTGGATCTCTCCCAATTAGTCTCTTTCCTTCTTTGAAGATGACTATAGAGGCTGGGTATGCCCAGCTGAATTGTATTTTACTGTTATAAAGTTGCTGAGTATATGGCTTCATTAATGTTTTTTGTCTCAATGTGTCCTGGCAGAAGTCTTGCCTGACATAAGCCTTCTTCCCTTTGTAATTCATTCCTTTAATTTTTTAAGGCTGCAAATATCTGTTGTTGTTTCTTTTCCCTTGCAAATTTTACTATAACAGGGTGTGGTTCTCCCCCCCCCCTTTTCTTAGTCTGCAGCCTATGTACCCTTTCTATTTGGTCTTCTTCCAGTTCTATCCCTTGTTCAGATATTCATTCCACAGTACATTGTTCCAAATTCTTTTGCTCTACATCTTCTGAAATCCCATATATAATCAAATTTGCACGTCTGCTTCTATCTGACAATTCTGCATTCTGTTTCTTCAGTTGGGTGATTTGTTCCTTGTTATCTTGAGCCATTTTTTTGCCTTGACTCCTTTAATCTCTGCCCCTATCTGTTTCACCTCCTGTTTTACTTCTCCAATGTCCTTTGTTATTGTTTCCTGTGAGGCCAGCATTAGAGCCTGGAACTAGAGATCTGTGCCGGTGCAGCGCTGCGACGGGCAGGGTGCGGCTCGCTCCGTCCTGCCCGAACCTTCTACGGACCTTTCCAAGTCTCCCGGGGTCTGGGAGAACTTGGCCAGCCCTCTCGGAGTGAGGGCTGGAGCAAGGGGCATCTTTTTTGGCCCCCCGCACTTTGCAAGCGGGGGGGTGTCCAGAAACAGCCCTGAAGCGAGACCGTTCAAGGGGAAGAACATGGCCGCCGCCATGTTTGGACTAGTCGCAGCCATCCGGACTTTTTAACTAAATAGAAGCTACAACAAGAGACTATTGGTACGGCAAGACAGAAGAGAACTGGAATGTGAGTAATCCTTTTTTTTTTGGTGGAAAGCTAAGGAAAATCCCCACAGAGGAAGTGTCCAAACATTGAAGTGGAGGTGGCCGAGAGAAGTAAGGGACTCAGTCTTTTTTTTTTTTTGTATGGCGGCTTGAAGTGGGGGAAAAAATACAACTGCTGGTCTCTTTGTTGTTTGATGGACTGGTATTACTGACAAAGACGGACAAAAAGGAAAAAAAGAAAGAAAGAGAAGAGTGGCTGAGGGAAGGAAATACAGAATACAGGGAACATTTTGCTGGAAGTTTAAGTAAAAGATTATGGAAAACTTGACGGAAATGGTGGTAGAGACAGAAATGGAGCAGGAATTTAATGAGAATGACGAGGTGGGAGAGCTAACCATTGCACAGTTTTTGAATATTTTGAGAGGAACGATTCAAAGAGAATGCAGGAAGGCATGTGAGGAAATAATGGAAAAGCTGGACAATGTTCTGAAAGAGTTTGGAATGACGAAGGAAGTAGAACGGCCCAATCCGAGGGAGATATTAGAAGAGCGGCGAGAGGAGAAATGTGAGGTTGTTAAAGGAAAAAAATTGGAGCCTGCGCTAGAGAAGGATCGTCTGTTAAGTGAAAGAACTGGAATGAACTTGAAGGGAAAAGAGCTGTTATATGCTAAAACAGGACTACGCAAAAATAATAAGAGAGGGGAGAAGAATGAAGGAGAAGGAGTAAGGAAGATTAAGAGAAAGAAAAAGAGGGCCTGGAAATTTAAAGAGAATAGTAAACGATGGAAATTGGAATGGCTGAACAATGGGGAGAAAGCTGAGGGAGAAAGTCGAGAAGACATAAAGACCGAAGGCATATAGACAGACTGAAGCAGAAAAATAGAAGGTTAATGTACAAGAGAAGGAGCAAGCTTCTGAAAAAGAGAAAAGGAATGTTTTTATACCTAGGACAGGAGTTGATGGAATAATGATTTGAATGTTAAATATGTAACTTTGTAGAATGTATAATGTTATGCCCTTGTTTCATGCATGAGATGATTAGAATAGCAGGATAGAAAGTCTAACCCAGATAATGATTTAATGTGTTGAGAGATGTTATTAAGATCTTAATTTAGATTGCTAATAAAATATTGAAGGGGGTAATAAAATGGTAATATAAGTTATATAAAAAACAGTAATAATAGTGAATTAGAATTTGTTTAGGTATGTGCAGGGGTTTCCTTTACCTATACTTCTTGTTATTGTATGTGTATGTGTTAAGTTTGTGGAAATTATGTTGAAAATGTTTGTGATGTGACGTGATAATGGGTATTAATAAGCCATTGAATAATAATGAAATTTGGGAGGGGTCATGAATGAGTTATGAATTGATAACTAGGAGGGTAATCTTAAAGTAATATATAAAAATTAAGTAATATTTATTTAATTGGATAACTATTTATTGACGTATTGTGGTATTGGGAAGTTTAGTATTGGAACGGATATGAATGAATTAGACTAGATAAATTATTAATGAAATGGTGGTTGTACTTTCAATTAGGGGTTAAACAGAGAGGGTGTTTGGTAAGGTGTATGTGGTAAGGTGTAACTATTATATAGGAGATAAAGAGGTAATGGAAAGCATAGAACGGAAAATAAAAGGATTCATAAATTTCAAATTATAAAAAATAAAAATAAAAATGAATTAAATGGATGTTAAACCCTGTTTTACATACTGGAAATAAGTGTTTTATGGAATACTAGTATGTTTAAATATGTCCAATAGGATTAGATAGGTTGCTTAGGGCAGTATGTTATGTTAAAGGAGATTCAAAAGAGGATTTTTTTAATTTGGTATGGTTTACTCAATTCAGATTGAACAACAAGGTGGAATAATGGGATAGTAGTGTACCTATTTTGGTAACATGGTTAACATCTCTGTGTTGCTGGATCACAAAATGAATTGAAAGGGGGAAAAATGTACTTGTATTCTTGTTGATATAGTATATATGTAACAGGTTTATATTGTCAAAACCCAATAAATATATTAATGCAAAAGAGAGAGAGAGAGAGAGAGAGAGAGAGAGAGAGAGAGAGAGAGCGCCTGTAACTGGTGTAATTTTGTGTGCATTTTAAACTTTGAAGTGACTATTAATTTTTCTTAGTCCTTGACATTCATTTTCCTTTTCTCCCCTGTTACAGATCCTGAATTTACTTACCTAGGAGGCATTTTGAATCCTATCCCAGGTCTAGTATCGCAGTACTCACCTCTTTCGTGCATTTAAGCTTTAAATCACCCTCATCCCTCCCGTTTTTCACATCACGTGGTATCTTGTCCTCTGTAGACTGCCAGTTTGAGCTCTCTGGAGCTGACGGAATAGTGCGTTCCAGTCAAGTAGAACAGGAAGAGAAAACAAAGCCTGGACAAGCGGTTGACTGCATATGGACAATTAAGGCTACTCCAAATGCCAAGGTGGGTCCACTGAATCACTCCGTCTGTAATGGCCTTACAGCTTATTAGTGGCAGGGAATGGTCATTAGCAATGATTTGTATAGTGTGTCCCCATTCACTGAAATTCATTACTTGCTGTTGGTTGAGAGAGCTCAAGACGGATGCAGGTTTATAGAGGGTGTCAGATGCACAATAACTGTGCTGCCTTTTTAATGACCCGATAGCAATTCAGCTATTTAAAAGTTATTAGCCATGTTTTTGAAAGGGTCCTTCCAGATTGGCCCTGAACTCTGTATTTTTTTTCCCTCCAGGCTTTCATTAGCTTAGTAAAATACAAGGGACAAGTGCAGAAGAATACTATTCTCGAATCAAAGAAATCATGCGTGGATATTTCCATTGCAGGGACGGGACTGTACCCCAAGACCTCTAACTCCAAATCACAGGGATGTGTGTGTTGGGTGCCACTGGCCTAGCCTTATGTGGACATCACTGATAGAATTCATATCTCACGGGAGGGGGGGTTGCTATAAGAGCCAGTTTTAATATTGGGCATCTGCATGATAATTGAATACACTGACCGTTTTTGCAAGTGTTGTAGAATAACCACACTTATAAAATTGTATTGCCTTGTTATAATGTCACAATCAGTCTAGTTTTGGACACAGGTCCAGTTCTTCATATTTCACTACTTTTTTCTGCTGGGGCCAAACTGTATCTTTTGTAAATAGTTGTGCTGAGAGATTTTTTTTTAATACCTCCTAACTTCCTTGTCCTATCTGTAGTGAGATGAGCTTGATACTTTGAAATTTTGAGGTTCATACAAAAGCTTTCAAAATCTGGGTATCCAGAACTATGTAGGAACATACCAAGGCAGCAAACTATATATTAATTTCCATGAGGAAAACATATATGGGGGAAATGTAGAGAATAAGGGAATTCATATACTATACTTGCGGTATAGTTGGGGGGGGGGAGCTAAAATGTTTTGATGTTGCAGATTTTATCCCAGAGGTATGATCAAGTTATTTTCCTCTTTTCATTTCTTTTTAAAATGTCTGATGCTTAGTTATAAAGGTCATGAATATTGCTGAAAGGCATATCTTCAGTCACTTGCAATTGAATTCAATTTATGTTCTTAAATTGTCTTGCCTGGATGGGTTTGTGGTGTTTCAAATTTGGGTTTACTGAGATTGCTGACTGCTTGGTGATTTGCAAAGGTTTGGGGCTACGTGTGTGAGCATTTTACACAACTGAAAAACACCCTCAGTGTATATGTATGTACCTGCAAGTGTGCTTGCTGACTGAATAGTATTTTCATGTTCAGAATAAACCCATGTAAGTGGAGAGGGTTACATCTTTTATGTTCAAATCCTGATGAAGCAAAGTGAGAAGGAACAGGACGTTCCAGGTTGAAAAGCTGTAGCTTTGATTTTTATCATTGTCTTGTGATCTATCTTGACCTGTAATACTTAGGCTTGGGATGGCTTGGGGACTGCAAGTTGGTCACCCATAGTGTGCAATTAAAGGTAAAGGTAAAGGTTCCCTTGCTCGAAAGCCAGTCGAGTCCGACTCTAGGGGTGCGGTGCTCATCTCCGTTTCAAAGCTGAAGAGCTAGCACTGTCTGAAGACATTTCCGTGGTCATGTGGCCGGCATGACTAAACACCAAGGCACACGGAACGCTGTTACCTTCCCACCAAAGTGGTACCTATTTATCTACTTGCAATTTCTTGCTTTCAAATGTGCAATTAGGATTCCCTTTATTCAAAGACAATTGGGGAGAATACAAGTCACACTCATAGGACAACCAAAAGCCAATTTGAGCTTCAGTCTAAGGAAACAGTATGTTCCTTGCCAAGAGAGGGAATGGATTCGGACCATAGGATAATGCAGTGATAACACTGCTGTGTTTCATGGCACTGACCAACCTGTACAGAGACACCACAAGTATCCAGCGCACTCAGGGCCGGCCCCAGCTTATCTTGCACCCTAGGCGAGGATCCCTTCTGCACACACACACCCCCCGTGCACCCACCAACAGCCAAGTTGACAACCAGAGGGCGCAAGGAGAGTCGCCAGGCTCCCCCCTCGTCAGGGCGCCTGGAGAAGAGGCTGACCGGCAGGGCACTCACAAGCCGTCGCTCCCCCGGCCCTGCTGCTGCAGCTGCCAGTCCCCGGCCGCGAGGAGGAGGAGGAGAAGCACTTTGCTGGGAAGCCGAGGGGGCAGGCAGAGAGAAGTTAGCCGGCCAAAGAGGTGGCGGCGGTAGCAGCCACCCGGTCAGGGAGATGCAGGGCTTTTGGCGGGGGGGGCGGGTGCAGTTTGGCGCCCCTAAGGGCCGGCGCACTCTAGGCGAATGCCTACTTCGCCTAGTGAGCGATCCGGCCCTGAGCGCACTCTCCTTCCACTTGGAAACCGGTGTTAAAAACCTGAGGTGACGTTCCACCAGCAGAGCAATGCTTCCATTGATACTGGAAGACAGAGCAGTTTTTGCCAATTCCCACAGAAGATCTCCATTACGCCCCCCCCCCGCTGGGCTTGAGAGTCCCA